ACACACACACACACACACACACACACACACACACACACACACACACACACACACACACATATATCGTGTCAATATCCATCCATCCATTTTCTAATCCGCTTATCCTCATGAGGGTCGTGATAATGCTGGAGCCTATCCCAGCTGTCTTCAGGCAGTAGGCGGTGTACACCCTCAACGGGTTGCCAGCCAATTGCAGGGATAGATGAACAACAATCTGCGCTCACACTCACACCTAGGGACAGAGTGTTCAATGAACCTGCCGTGCATGTTTTTGGGAGTAAACCGGAGTCCCCGGAGAAAACCACTCAGGCACTGGGAGAACATGCCAATTACTCACAGGATTGCCGGGGCCTGGAATTGAACCCATGCCCTCTACACTATGAGGTGCACATGCTAAACAGTCCACCATGCCGGCGTACTCCGAACAGTGTGAATAAATAAACTGTGTTGATTATCTTTACACATTTCATTGTTAATTTTGTCAGGAGGAGTAGTTCAGAAAATGGATGGACAGAATTGTACACTGACCAGATTTTCTAAATTTTTGAGCGGGGCCATTATCAAAAATTGACTTAAATTCAACTCTCAAGCACTTAAATAAACCATTTTTTCCCTCTGTGGTCAGTCGTGTATGTAACTTGTTGTCAACAAACCTGACATTGGTGGCAGTGAGATCCAATCACCCCGGGTTTGCAGCGGCACTGCCCAGTGTGCGGGTCACATGACTCGGTACCACATGGTGAGCAACTGCATTCTGTACGACATCAACGATACCAACAGATTTTAGAGGCTTGCTGACGAAATAACTCCTTCATCGACCTATCATAATCACTCAGACTTACGGGTGCAGTTTTTGGCAGAGATGGCATCACCATAGTAACCAGGAGCGCATTCGTTGCAACGAGGCCCGGTTGTGTTGTGCATGCAGCTCAGACACTCGCCCGTCAGTGGGTGGCAGTCCGTGAACAGCATGTTGGGGTCTGTATTGCCGTTGCAATTGCAGGGCTGGCATGTGCTGCCCAGCACCATAGGGTTACCATAATAACCAGGGGCGCACCTGTCAAGAGGCTGCTGTTAAAGACAGAGTTCTGTTGGGCATGCTAAATGCAGCTAGCCACCAGGCAGCTGACTTTTGTGTTTTTTGAGACAACCGGGATAGGCTCCAGCATGCCCAAGACCTTAGTGTAAGCAGTTCAAAATATGGATAGATCGATGGATGGACTGATGGATTAATCTTATGTGGCTACACTAATGACAAATCTGGGGTGAGCTACTTCTACCACTATTACTTCTACTACTACTAATAATAATAATCCGCCCATCCATCCATCCATTTTCCGATCCGCTTTATCCTCGCAAGGGTGGCAGAGGGTGCTGGAGGCTATCCCAACTGTCTTCGGGCAATAGGCAGGGGACACCACTACTACTAATAATATATAATAATAACTATGGGTAATCAGAGTCAGTAACAACACCACTTTCCTATAAAATCACCCTTTGACTTACTCTCCAGGCATGTCTAATCGCTTTACGCCCAGTACAAAATGTTGCAGGAGTGATAAAAATGTAGTCAAGTGATAGGAGTTCTGTGGGGGGTACCTCTGATGTATGGCATACTGAACTCCCTGATACAGGCTTTTTGGTCCCTGTATGACCAGTGTCAGACGGTTTTGGTCCACATTGCCGGCAATAAATTGTATTTGTTTGTGGTCAGATTTGAATGCTGCCAAGGCTGCCCTTTGTCACCACTTCTGTTCATAACCTTTATGGCGCTGAGGGCATCCGGTTTGGAGGCCTCAGTATTGCATATCGACTTTTTTGCATCTCATGTGGTACTTTTGGCTTCAACAAGCTGCAAACTGCAATTCTCACCAGACCGGTTAACAGGCAACTATGAAGCAGTTGGAATGAAAATCAGCACCTCCAAATCAGTCACAAAAGGGTGCGGTTCCCTTTCCAGGTTGGGGATAAGATCCTACCCCAAGTGGAGGAGTTCAAGTATCTTGGTGTCTTGTTCACAAGCGAGGGAAGAATGGTGAATAAGGAGCTGAGCAGAAAATCAAAGCTCTCAATTTTGCAGCCGATCTAGGTAACAACCCTCCCCTATGATCACGAGCTGTGGGTCATGACCTGAATGAACAAGATCCCGAAGTTTCCTCTAGTATGTGTTCGGGCTCTCCCTTCAAGATAGCGTGAGAATCTTTGTTATCTAGGAGGGCTCTTTTTGGGGATGATCACCAATCAGAGAACAAGATGACAAATATCTATTTTAATAACTTGTTTACTTGCATATACATGCACTTTCCCGAAGAATCAACATCAACAAAGTTTTCTTCTTCATTTTTGCCCATGTTTAACAATCCTTCCCATGCTATGGGAGGGGGAAAACTAGGCGTATGCTCTGAATGTGAAATGATTTGTGAACAAACAAACAAGCATAACTTGATTTTCAGTAACATGTAAATGTGTTGAAAACATGCATTACATAACAACATCACTACTTTTGATCAGATCTAGGCAAAGTATGTAATGGGGTCGACATCACACCCACAGACTGAATGGTCCCAACAGTGACCATCAAGGTAAAATGAAATATCTGGTGCTTTTATTTAATGTGAAAGTGTAGACGCTGGTACAAGCAAACTAGTGAGTTAAAAAAAAATGATGACACTAGTTCGAATGTGAGCAATATTCTTGTTTTTCTCTTACCACTGTGCTGTTGATGTACTTTTTGGATTGTTGTTTTGTTGGCTTACCTTTCACAGTGTGGCCCGGCATAACCGGGCATGCACAAGCACTGCATATGCTCGTTCTTCTCCACGCAACCTTGAGCAAAACTGCACAAACATAAAGTTATTCAGTTAGTGCTAACGCTACGCTAAGAGAGGTTTTCTGGACTACTGACTTGTTGGATGGCACTGTAAGTGGACATGGACAACTGGAACATGACTGCACTTGCCCAACCACACTGATGTTGCCGACAAAACCACCCTGGCATTTCTCACAATGGTCGCCAGCTGTGTTGTGTTGACAATTCTGACAGACACATAAACATACACAATAGAACACAACAGATGAGACCACAACACAAGAAAACAAAAGCATATAAAGTGAGCTCATCAACAAGCTTCGCAGAAGCCCAAAAACGATCCTGATCATTTGAATCCTGTGTGTTGGAGGCGAAGTGGACAACGTTGATGGAAGTGAAGGAACTTGTGGAAGGGATGGCTACTAATATTGTGTAGATAATCAAGAATATATACCCTTGGGTTGTTTTTTTTTTTACAGCCCCCTAGTCCCTGATCATGGTGTCACCTCCACACCTCCTTATTTCGATTGCTTCCTTGATCCATCTTATGAATTTACATGCTCCCACATACCTGGGACTCTCTGCTTCAATGACGGCAAGGGGTAGGAGCTGTCAGCTTGGTAAGAGATTTTCTCGTCACTAAAAAAAGACCACTGTCTGAATAAAAGAAACCTATTTTAACGAATAAGAAGAGAGGGATGACCATCATAGCGCTAACACATGGAAAATACGGACGTGATACTGTTGTCCTCTGCCGCTGGGTAAGACTAGAAATGAAGCTTGCACGCCCCCCCTCCCCCCAAAAATAAAACCCATCTGAGATTCAATCTTAGATGGTAACATGAAGAAACAACCCCAGCAAGTCTCACCATCAAGATTCCCATCCCAACCAACAGAAAATATCATGAATAAAGCAAAGAAGGCACTTCTCTGGATGAACAGTCAGCACCCGCAAAATAGAACATCAAACAGAGTGCAAAAAAGAAATGACAGGAACGCTACCTTAGGAAACAAAAAGACAAAGGAGAACAAGAAATCGGCCAGAACAGACGAATGCACAAGAAATAATCACATTATGGACTGGGAGAAGGGGAAAGGCATCACATCAAAAACCAATTAATTGAAAGACATGGATCAAGTAAGTGGCGGCCCGGTGTTCCAGTGGTTAGCGCGTTGACCTCACAGTGCAGAGGTCGTGGGTTCCATCCCGGCTCCGGCCTTCATGTGTGGAGTTTGCATGTTCTCCCCGGGCCTGCGTGGGTTTTCTCCGGGTACTCCGGTTTCCTCCCACATTTCAAAAACGTGCACGGCAGGCTGATTGAACACTCTCAATTGTCCCTAGGAGTGAGTGTGAGTGGAGATGGTTGTTCGTCTGTGTGCGCCCTGCGATGGGCTGGCAACCGGTTCAGGGTGTCCCCCGCCTACTGCCCGAAGGCAGCTGGGATAGGCTCGGGCACCCCCCGTGACCCTTGTGAGGATAAAGCAGATTGGAAAATGGATGGATGGATCAAATAAGCAATGGAAATAAAGAGGCCTGGAGGTGATACTATCAACAGGGACGAACAGGGAGGCTAACATTTTCCCAGACACTTGGGACTTGTTATTAATGGCGGCCAGGGGTTGGAGCACAGCTAAGTTTGAAGGTTTCCCGACTCGGTCAGATGTTTTTAGACGTGTCACTGTAGTGTATCATCACAGACCCTCTTCCTTCTGTGCTTTTATTTTGCTGAGTCCACTTCCAGGGACCTTCTGTGTCTGTTTCCCTTTCATTACCAGGCTGGGCCGGAGGGTGCTCCGACACCTGCAGCTGATCAGCAATCACCTCCAGCGTTTAAGAGCTCTGCTGCTCTGTAAGCGGGTGCCAGATGATTCTCGCATTTGAGTGGTATCTAGGCCATTGCTCGTGCACATGCTTGCCATTTTTGTGCATACTCAATTGGTCTTGTTTGTCTCGTTCCAGTGCCTGTCTCCCTGCCCAGCCTGGCTCCACATTTTCCTCCCCGGACCACTTGACCCTGCACCCTTCCTTTCCCCATCTCCTTCGCTTTTGGATCCTCCGCCACCATTACCTTTGTCGACCGTAACAGTCATAAGGAAGAAGTGACAGCTCGGACGGAGGCTGAAGTGAAAGCCGCAACTGTCAGCTCGGAAAGAGATTTTGTCTTCACAAAATAAATGCATAAATAAATAAATAGATCGATTAAAAAAATGTAAAAACGAAAGCTTAAACCTATGTCAGGAAATACTGTTTTGGAGCATGTATGTGTATCAATACAAAACCTTTAAAGATTTGATTCAACAGGAAATGTGAGCGGTTCGCTGGCTTTTCTGGGTGCATGATCAGTCATTGACTGACAACTGCGGATGCACAGCGGCGGAATCAATTTTACAGGAAGCACTTATACGCACTTGACCGGTAAGAGGTTATAAGAGATGGGAAGTGTCTTTCAGTTATTTAGGACACTAAGTCAACTCATTAGCATATTCTCATTTTAGATTATTACTGTTCAAATTATTATTAGTCTTTGTATAAATGACTGTAGTTTCAATACAATTAGCATCTTGGGTAAAAGATGTGTTTTTATTTTCAGAGGCCGATCGTTATTTGTGCGTACGCATGGTCTGAGGAGGTTCTAAATTTGTTCGCAGAATCCTCACAAAATCAAGCACGGATGTCTTGATTATCAGACAAATTGGTGAATACACACGTTTCTAAACCAAATGACACCTAGCGCGGACCTCTGTTACTTGTGTGAGAATATGAACGTGAGACAAATTCTGCCAAACAATTGGATGTGGTCATGGCTCTTGACCCAATTGGTGGCCCCCTATCTTGGCTACCCAACTGGCACCTTCTCCATTGCAACACTGCCTTGATGTCACCGCAGTGGCATCTGTGTATACAACTTAAAGTGTTATTAAATCAGATGGAGGATTTGACCAAAAAGATTCCATTGATTCCATTGCTGTTCTGGGGTACAGTAAGCTGTAGCTGCTGTCTTTGTGCAGTGGAATATGAAGTTATGAACTTAATTGGTTCAGTGATCCCATTTGTAACCTGAAACATTCTTCAATTGAGGTAATGCTTGCCAGTGAAATAAATGGAAATGTAATTAATCAATTCGAGCTCCAAAACCAAGTTATACCCCCCCAGTGTGTGGCTCAAAATGAATGTGATGCAATATAGAAATGAGTGAAACTATTACAGCACCTAAAAAGCATTCTAACCAAAGGTGTCACATAACAGTAAACATAAACAAATGAGGTAAGGTCATGAATTAAGTAGAAACTTCAGTGGAGTAGTTATTTTTCACCCTACTTTATATATCAACTCCTTATATTTTTATGTAAAAATCCACACTTTCTACTCCTCAGACACACACAACAAGCTTTGTTACGATTTCATTTTGGATTGTTTTGTTCCACTTTGCCATTGTTCAAAACACCAATGCGGATAAACCACGCTTGGACAGCTCGTCATTTTGATAGTGGTTGGATGAATGAAGATATCATTCCGACACATTATTGGTTTGTAGGCAAAGCACTGCACCTGCGCGTGATGCAAATCAACATATCTATAACAACTCGCCAACCCAAACTAGTGCAGGGAGTGGCAAAATGACCACACCTGAGCAAGCTGGAATTTATAGCTGAATTCAACTTTGGCAAACGCAATATTTCAAGCATTATTTTTTTAGATTCAGAAGAAACAACAAGTGGGATTAAGGGAATGGCATGCAGGAAAGAGTCACTTGGCACAGGATTCAAACCAGGGACGCCTGTAACATGCACTATAGCCTCAACACGTGGCACTGGTGCTCTACCATGTCACCTTAACATCATCCCCCAAAGTGCAATATTAATCAGAGTACCGTGTTTAGACTAGTGTGGCCACATGTAAGAAAAAACACGTGTGACTTGACGTCCCATTTAAGAGGAACGAGTTGTGTGAGGTTTAAACTGTCATTCCATTGACCTTAATAATTCACAAAAGGATGGTTTGGCAAATGGTTTAAGATGATTGGTTCTAGCATGGTGTCATTGGGTGTTCATCAGTTGTTCTGACTACCTGCAGCTGCTGTTTCATTCCATGCATGCCTGATGACCAAAAACATAAAATGTGTACAAATTCCCAACAGAGAGAGAGAGAGAGAGAGAGAGAGAGAGAGAGAGAGAGCGAGAGCGAGAGCGAGAGCGAGAGCGAGAGAGAGAGAGCTGGGAATCAAACTAGATGCTGCAACTTTCATCTAAGGATGTAGCGAGACAAGCAGGATAACCCAGAGGCCGATCAATGACTACACGGTGACACCCTGCAATGGACAGCGGTGTGGAAGATAACCCTGAAGTAGAATCTTGGTTGTTGTGTGATGAACGTTTTTAATCACTCATCAATTATCTCATCTGATGTAATCTCGCACTCTGATTTTGGAATTGAATGAATCTTTACTGGAATTGAATCTTTACTGTCCATGTAATAAAACAATAGAAATGAAAGTTCTTCTTATAGTGCGCAATAAATAAAATTGGTAGAAACCAACCAACCAACCAAACAAACAAAAAAAAAAAAAACAATAAAATCATTCAATAAACCCAATAAACACTACATTTATATAATCCGTCCCGAGTTTAATGTCAAGAAAGCATTTGTGACTAATCCTATGAATTAATTTTAAATTAATTACCGTAATTTCCGGACTATAAGCCGCGACTTTTGTCACACGCTTTCAACTCTGCGGCTTATTTCATGAAGCGGCTTATAGAAAGACTTTTCTAATGGCCGCCTGTGTACCGTCTTTCTTTGTAAATATCTCATGTTACAATATGGGCACCTGCGGCTTATACACAGGTGCGGTTTATGTGTGTACAAAATATTTTTTCCTTCAAAAATGTAGTGGTGCGGCTTATAATCAGGTGCGGTCTATAGTCCAGAAATTACGGTAGTACTATTCCTTAGCCTGTTTGTTTTTGTTTTCAGAGTCCTGTCATTTCGGCCTGATACCAAGTTATATTTAAAGCAGTGGTTCTTAACCTGGGTTCTATCGAACCCTCAGGGGTTCCACGGAGCCTCTGCCATGGAGGTTAAGGCACACCCGACTCAAGATGTCAATTAGTTATGACACGCCTTCCTGGCAATCGCTGGCTGCAGATTATCACATTACATTGCTTGTCTAATCAGTGCTGCGGGAAATTTAGTTCGCTCAGTAGTCAGCGTGTGACTCTCGTGATAGTTCGTCATACAATTTAAAAAAACGAGACTTATGCCATGTTAATCGTATTGACTTTTGACTAATGTCTTGAATTTGTAAAAAAAAAAAATCATATTTTATTTTTCTCAACTCAACTGTATTTATAGAGCACTTTCAAACAGCCATCGCTGCATACAAAGTGCTGTACATGGAGCAATTCAACATATCCAACAAACAGTAAAGCAAATCGGTAATAAAGACGGTAGAAAGCACCGAACAGCAAAACCAAGAACAAACCTAAGTCATGCTGAGTAAAATACCAAAGAATACAAGTGAGTTTTGAGGCGGGTTTTGAAGATGGGCAGCGAGGAGGCTTGCCGAATGTTCAGTGGGAGGTCATTCCAGAGAGAGGGACCAGCAACAGAAAAGGCTCGATCCCCTCTGAGCCTCCGTTTAGTTCTTGGTACTTCTAATCATGTCTGGTCCGCAGACCTGAGGCGCCGGGCAGGTGTGTAGGGGCGGATGAGCTCAGAGAGGTAAGGTGGCGCGAGGTCATTTAGAGATTTGAAAACAAATAAGAGAATCTTGAAAATAACTCTAAAATGTATGGGGAGCCAGTGAAGGGATGCCAGAGTAGGAGTTATGTGCTCCCTCTTACGAGTACCAGTCAAGAGGCGAGCAGCGGCATTCTGGACCGGCTGGAGACGCTTAATGGAGGACTGGCTGACTCCAAAGTAAAGGGCATTGCAGTAATCATTTTTCACTCAAGCAATTTTTCACTAAAGGGTTTGGTGAATGTGTATATGAACTGGTTGGGCTTGGTACCTCTAACAAAGTTAAGAACCACTGATTTAAAGTAATGTGAATTTCAATTATTTCAATGGTAATTGACAATAATAAATGCGATGCACAATGCGTCGTAATGCGATAAAAACCAAAGGGCTGTCTATGGATGATAAAGAAGACATTTTCTCTACTTTCCAGGGCTGCTACTGGGTGGGTGCGGGGACCCCTAAAATGCAAACACATTCAACAGGATACACACTCTGGCCAAATTCTTCATGTATGTTGCGGCCCCTAACAAAAGCCCTTCATTCAAATGACTTTTAGAGTAATAATCAACAGCCATTTTAAGATGCCTATGATCTGCATGGAACTCACCAGGCATATTCCCGATCCGTCCAAACACTGATCCGAATGTCCGTGACAATTGCAGGGCACACATTTTCCCAGGAAGAGGCCGATGGCATCCCTGTAGAAACCTGGAGCACATTTCTGTGCCAACAAATGCCAACAAAAGTGGGAATTTCTCCATTGTGAGACTACTAAAGGTTTTCTTATCTTAAATAAAGGAATTAAGAGTGTCAATAAAAGGAAGGCCATATCTTGAAGACATGTTGCCACCTCCTCACCTGGCAGGAGTCTCCCAGGTAGTTGGCAGGACACATGCAGAGCTCCACATTGTTAGCGTGGCGACCAGCCGGCAAACTCTCGGCACCCTCCAGCACGGCGCCGCGGAGCGACACCGAGTGGGCCGACTGGGAATGAAGGGCTCGTATCTGCAGGGACTCCAAAGCCACCAGAACCATCATGAGCTCCTCTCTGGAGACGGAGTTGCCAGTCTGAGCATGCCGAAAACTTCCCTGTGGGAGGCAGCAGGCGGCATACGTTTCAACATTTCTACTTTGGACTTTCAAAAGTGCTTTGAGCACCGCCGGGCCCACTTTACCTCGACCATGTGCACAATTCCCAAATGCGGCTCTGCGGGAGAAGAATATTCACGCTCCAAGAACACCAATGTCATCTGGTTGCCCTACACACACACACACACACACACACACACACACACACACACACACACACACACACACACACACACACACACACACACACACACACGTGCGCGCGCAATGAGTGGTCACTATCGCTGAAAGAGCTGTAGACAGTGGCCTGCCACTGAGCAAATGAAAATACATATATTTTTTTTTTCATCCAAATTCTTTGACATATTTGGTTTAAGGTTTTTCCTCACAATAATTACTTTCCCTAGTAACGAATTACATTTATATGTAATCCAGGAACTTATTAACTTTATGAGAAAGTAATTTGTAACTTCAACTAATTACTCTTCATATTGATTTACACGACACTGAATTCAAATCTTTTCAAGTATTGTCATTTTTGACCCCGGAGGTAGAGTGAATGCTGGTGCAATTAGCTGCCACTTCTCATGGATTGTTGTATCAATTTCAAGATAATTTCTGAATTTGGAAGCGGATCTTTTACTGTCGGCCGGGATGGTCCATTTTTCACTCAAAACACCTCTTTATGTATTTTGGGAACAGGCAAATGATATTAGCTTGCGTTTTCAAATGTATCACTTTGATTTGGAGAAATCGGGAAATAACTCTTGTGTAAGATCAGTTCAAGCGATCACTTCATTTTATGAAGTACTGCCAGCAAATAAAGAAAAACATTTTGGATGGAAAGAATTTGTTTTGGTTTCATGCTCACCCAGCACAGACATTGTCCTTTGAAACGACCCCCTCCGTTTTCCCATGTCTTAGTGGGAGTCAGTGGACAAACCAGACACACTTTGTCCATTCAAAATTGGGGCACATAAGCACCTAATAATTTCCAAAAACGTCAATCAATCAGCACCAGAATTTATGTGGACATCTCTACGCATGCCCACTTCCAGCTCTGAAAATCTCCATGGCTCACAAATGAGGAAATGAGCAGTTTACATGCAGTTTCCCTGATGACAGATTTGACATTTTCTGACGCCATAGTTTTGTTAGACACCACAGACCGGCAGCCATTAGCCCCCCCGCATCTCAAAGGCTAACACCAGTGCAGCTGTCAGGGCAACAATTAGTGTTTGGCCGCTGATACAGCCAAGGTTAGCGTATGAAATAATCTTACTAGTCTAACATAATTTTGCTAATGGCTGCCACCATTAATTACCACCAAACTTTATATGCCCTTTCCTACTCTTGCCGTCTTCAACCTGGAAAAATATAAAAACAACGGGCACAATATTTTCAATTTTGTGTCAGTGATCATGGCGTTTCCTCATAGGAGCTCACGTTTCCTGTCAATAAAATGGGGTGGCACGGAAAAGTGGTAGAATGTCTGTCTCCCAACCTAGAGGGTTAAATCCCTGGCCATTGTGATCAAGAGTCCTTGAGCAAGGTACTGAGCCCCCAAGTTGCACCCGATGCTGTGTTATCAGAAATCAGTGTTAAAGGGCTTTGAGTAGCTAAGGTAGAGAAGCGCTGCACAAGTGAAGATCCATTTACCATAAAATCCCAAATATTGCGCTGATCACTTTTAGATTTTCATCGGTTGAATTGGCCACTATTGGTCACCATATTCAGACACCAGATGACAAGAGAATGTCACAAAGCAAGCCAGGACACAATAAACACAGGGCATGCACATCAAAAATGGCGGTCAATAAGAAGTGCTGAATGTAACCCGAAAAAAAAAATGACTGGGTTATTCAGGGGGGTGAATTTTAGTTCTGACATCATTTTTACATCAGACCTATGTCTATGAGTGTCACTATTTAGCCCCATCAAGTGTTGCTTTAATCGGGGTATTGTGGGGCTCTTACATTGTTCTCGACTGTCATCCGATCGGTTTACCAGTCCTGTGAGCTTTGACTGCTGATAGCGTGTTGGCATCCCACTCATCTCTTTATCTCTGCTCGTAACACTCATCCTGTTCATCGAGTGGATGGACGTAAAACACGCCTGCGAGATTTATGCTTGTCTGGATTGTCCGATCCTTCCTATTAAAGTCATCTTCAATGATCCTTCTGTACTTGAGTACTGAGACCCTCCAATTTGGGTTTCATCTAAGAAACATTATCTGGTCTACCTACTTGCATCTCCTTAATATCAACCGCCTCCGCCCATCACTTAACTCCAACAGGGCCAGCATGTTGGGCCACATGCTGTTTACATCCCATGTGGATTACTGTCCTTACGTTTCGTTGATAAAGTAGTATAAGACGTGTGTAGTTTGGGTCTCAATTACATTCACACTTTTGTTTAAATATTTAATATGTAATTGCTGTACAGCGCTTTAGTACAGCTGCAGCTGTTGAGAAACTGCTTGGCCTATACACTGTATATAAAGTTGAGTTGAGTTGATTTGAGAGTGTGTGTGTGTGTGTGTGTGTGTGTGTGTGTGTGTGTGTGTGTGTGTGTGTGTGTGTGTGTGTGTGTGTGCGTGCGTGCCTATATATACCTTGAGGATGATGTCAGGTCTTGGAGGTTCAACAGGAGGAGACCAAACATCTCCTCTCATGGTCTGCGTGTGAAGACGATATCTCAGGTAACCGCCGTAAGATGACACCTTGTCCCCCAGGTAGGTCTTGGGCGCATACCAGTGAAGGTCCTGGTACACATCAGGAATGTCGCTAAGGTCAGCCTCCACTAAGTCCTGAGCCGGATACACGTTGACTGGTACTTCCTGTTTGTCGGCACTGAGTAGCACCCAGCCTTCCATGTTCATGATCTGTCGGAATAAGAGGAGCAAGGAGCAACTCGTGGATAATCCCACCAAAGGGGAGGATGTTCGAAGGTGTGTTCGAGGCTATTTTGGTCTACCTCGCTGTGTCTCTTGTCTGAACTCCTGCAGCGATCCGTGGCACGGAAGCAGAAGCAGCTGGTGCAACCTTTGGGGTTGGTTGGGTCCAAGTGGAATGTGCCAACTCTGCACTGGTCACAGCGAGAACCCTGGACGTTCTCCTAATGGTAGCAGGGTGTGTGAGCTTAGGTCAGCGATCAATTCATGAAAAAGGTTTGGGAGGAGGAGAATGTGTTTTGGTTTCATGCTCACCTTGCACAGACATTGTCCTGTGAAAGAGTTGCATACTTCTTCCTCAGTTCCTGCATCATTGCAGTCACATGGTTGGCAATTTGGATACCCATGGAAACCAGATGCGCAGCGGTCACATTGGCGACCCACCACGTTGTTCTTGCATCTGGGATGCGTTACACAACAATAAAAATGAATAAAAGCAATGAAAAGTAATCAAAGTGCAATGAAACACTTTATATCCCCCCCCCGCCCCCCAATCTTGCTGCTGTAGACTGCAAATTTCCCCAGTGTGGGACAAATAAAGGTTATCTTATCTAATCTTAAAACATGGAAAAATCAAGAAAATAAAGTTTGCGTAAGAGACAGAAACAGATATTAGATTTGATTAATTTTTCACCTCAAATACAAATGACCTGCTGGGGTAACCGTGATCAAGCATTTTCTGAACCTTTCAAAAACAGGTAGAAAGCGCAGAGGCGGATTCCCCCCCAGCTCAGGCTCGTGTTTTACTAACAAGTTGTAAAAGCCTGCTCAGGTGAGAGGCAAAACAATTTCTAAGCCAACCAGAACAGTCCACTTGTGATTGATTCAGTACCCTTGATATTGTATGATATTGAATACACTGTAAATTTGAATTAAAAACAGTCTTGTATTACAAACTAGCTTGCTTAACTTAACAAATAAACAGGGGCTCTTCTTCATGCTCTTGTGTGGGCATGACTACTCAGTAGTAGCATCACTAGCACCCCTGAAGCTACAAATTGGTGCTTCAATTTTTTTGGTTTTGCTGACATGAAGAAAAAAAAAGAGCATATAGAAGGAGTTTCCGTCTTACCTGCACTGTCCACTGAGGTTGTCGCAGCTGACATCAGGCGCCACACTTCCGGGCTGGGAGCAGTTGCACACCTCACAGCCAACCAGCGGATGGCAGCCAAACGTCTGCGGCTCGCACTGGGTGCACTCAGGCAGCAGGGTCCGTGGCGGGCAGATGCATTCCCCTGACATAGGTTCGCACAGCCTGGTGCCACAGTTACACTCTGAGAACAAATGACACCGTAACCAATCAGTTGACGGGCTCAGAGTAGGGAGCAGTTTCTTGTCAATATGTGCACATAAATGAGGAAATATTCATTCAAACCACCAAATTGGAAGTGTAACAACCACAATCAAAATGTGCAATAACTGATTTGAACCATTTCAATGATTTTACAACTCCGCATTGACGCCTTAAGCTTGAAGTCAACTTATGGTTATTCATGTGTCTGAGTCGTCTTGTCTTGGATCCAGCCCATTTACAGAGGACTTCCAATTTGCCCATCGCCGTTGAAAGATAATGCGCTGGATTGCAATGTTCGCTGGCCAACAAGGTGACACAGTCACTATATGACTTTGCAGGTCAGAGAGAAAATTAGCTAATTGTGGATTCTATTAGCGGTTAGACTCACTATCTTGGGCTATTTACATGGCCGTTAGTCATTACGGCGTGACCCGGGGCTGTCGGTGAAAAACGAGTGCAGCAGTGCAAAATGAAGCTTTATATTCATCATCACAAAGTTACATCCAATAACTCATCTGTGAACTGAAGCTGTATGATACGTACAATGCACACCAACAGCGGTGGTAGTTGGCATGTACGCTCGCACAGGGCGGCATGGCTATGTGGGCGACAATGCACACCTCGTCTACAAAAAAAAAAATGCTGTGTAAAATAGCATATCATGACACGTGTAAAATATGACCAGTCGACCCATGCTAATCATGGGCGGTGAGGATCGTGGGGATTGGCCTGGAAATAGCGAAAATCCAAATACAATTGACAGCCACTGAAATGCATTGGAAAAAATACATATAATAATTAGAGCTGTCAGTTTAGCGCATTTTTATGGCATTAATTTAAATGAATTTTAACGGGATTAATTTTTTTTCTCGCGAGATTAACGCAGCAGACGTCACAGCGGATGTTACGTTGCTCTATAAATAAACCAGAAACAAAACAACAAGCACGCTGCACATGTCCACGCACGTTTGTTTTGCCAACCACGGCAGCGCGAGACACCGAAAACGGATACTTAAAGAGTTTATGAATGGAAAGTTTACTTTTAAAAAGTTGCCAGATTGTTCCACTGACAAGACCAAAGTTACCTGTATGTTTTGCAGTCGTAAACTGAGCTATCATCATAGCACGTCGAGTCTGAAATACCACTGAATGGCCAAGCACACAGCTGACGTGAGTACTCCGCCTCCTCGTCTCAGACAGACAGCTATGGATAATTTCAAACCATATAAATAAAGCGGGTGGAGCTTCTCTGTGTTCGTCTGACAGCGACGTTGCGCTGAGGCACCTCGAGAGTTCAGCGGTGCAGTGGTAGCGACCTAGCGAACACTGAAAATAAAATGTCTCCAGTGTTGTCATCGAACCAAGTGTAGTCATCCGAAATGATGTCTACACAAAACCGTAGAGAGACTTCCGAGCAAGAAGGACCAACAGAATCAACATAGCCTGACTGCTGTGTTCAAAGCAAACTTGAGAAAAAAGAAGAATGCAACCATGGCTTAAATCCACTATAGGCTGAGTACTAGTTTACCTTAGATGTGCACTTTATTATGTTATATTGCTCTGTTTTGATTCCATAAAAAGAGCTGTTCAAGCAGCTGTTGTGTGACAAAATATTTTTTTCACTGTTGTTGATGGACAGTAATATTGTGTGAGAGATTATGTGTGAATAACTGCTCCAAGTGAAAAATGTTCATGTAAAATTGAAAATCGAAATTGTTATTTCAGTAAATATTTGCATTTTGCACATAGAAAACTGATTCATGATTCCATGTTGATGAGAGCATTAAAATGGGGAAAAATAGGACAAAAAAATATAAAAGGAAATTCAGAAACGATAAAAAATGCGTGAGTAATCACGATTAATTTTTAGTGAATTTGAGTTAATTATGACAGTTGCATTTTTAATTAGATTAAATATTTTAATCGTTTGACAGCTCTAATAATAATACATACCTATATTCAGGGTTCCCGATCTTCTTTAAAATACTTTCCAGGACTATTTCATCTGTATAGTTTTGATAGATCTTAAAGCTGACTTTGACACAGTTGACAACCTCTCCCTTTGGAACATCCTGAAGTACCTCAGAGTTCCACTAAAAATAACCACGTTGTTCCAGCGACTCTACAACGAGTCCGGGAGCAAGTCTCAGGCGTGTCATTTGGGAACCTCCACCTGACCAACCTTGAATATGCTGACGACACCACCCTGTTCAGCAACTCCCTCCAACACCTCAGCAGTGCTCTCTCCATGTACCAAACAGAAGCAGCAAAGCTGGGCTTCCAAGTAAGCTGGCAGAAAACAAAACTTATGTATATTGGTGACGGACCCCACCCTTCCCCCGTTTTCTGGCTCAGACGAAGTTCAATTCGTCGATTCCGTTATCTACCTAGGCTACACCATGACAACCAACGGCGATCTCAAGCCAGAGATTGACCGCAGACGTGGCCTCGCGGCTGCACCTATGCAGACGCTATGGCGGCCCCTCTGGTGCCACCATTCAGTGTCCCAAAAGACCAAGATGCGCATCTCGAGTACAGCAGTTCTTCCCATTTTCTTGTATGGTGCAGAATCCTGGCCTTTAAACAAGACTCTGGTCAAGAGGATCGATGGCTTTGACAGCAGATCTTTCAGAACCATCATGAACATACCCCCCTCCCCAAACAACAAAAATTATATATTTAAAAATCTTTTAAATTATTGAACACATTTTGAAAAATCTACATATTTTTGTGCTGAACCACAGGTTGGTAAATTTTAGTGCTGGCCTTATTTTTACATAAATACATACAAGTGTACACTGAGACAAAAATGTTCTTAAATTGTTTGACTATTTAGTCACACACTTGTATATAGTGTCCAACCTCGCCCCATGCTTGCTTGTGACCAACAGAGCCTCTTGAGGATGCTCCTTTTATGCCCAATCATGACACAGAGCCGTTTCCAATTCATTTGTCCACCTGTGGGGTTTTCCCCAAACAAGTGTTATTTGTGCATTCCTGTACTATTCCAGTTTTTTTTTTCCCCCTGTCCTCGCTTTTTTGGAACGTGTTGCCGGCATCAAATATAAAATGAGAGAATGCTTGCAAAATGTACCCTTTTAACATGAATGTCTTGTGGGTTGGATGTAGTCAATTGGTGACAGGTTGAAAAGGATTTGTAAATGATTGTATTCTTTTTTTATTTGCGTTTTACAGAATATCCCAATTCCATTGGGATTGGGGTTTGTATATTGTCAAGTCCATGAGGACATTGAAGCCTTCACTGCTGAAGCCCTTTGAACTTGCTAACCAAAACAGCAGCATCCAGTAAGGCAGTCTTTATGAAGTATTAACAACCAGCTTACATTGTCCAAGGACAGCAACTTCAGCAATGATTTACAGTTCCCATGTGATCACTCAACAACATGATAGTCTCCTTGTTTAGTCACCGCCCACTGTACTTTTTTTAGATGTAGATATTTTAGATTTTGTTTTAAATTCCACTTGCTTTGATCATAAATTGTAATGTAGCAAGAACATTTTGTCTTATTGTTTTGCTGGACAAAAAAAAAGTCCAACTCCTTTTTGCAGTTGAAAAATTCTTTGACGAATTGTGGCACTACTCATTCAAATGTGGCCAACATTGAGGTGTTGAATGATTTGTCGGGATACTCACGCCTGCAGTCGGGGAAGCCCCAGTACCCCGTGGCGCACGTGGAGCAGTCTCGACCAATCACGTTTGGCTTGCAGCGGCACTGGCCGCCAAATGGTTCACAGGCATCGCTCTCGGCGCCGACCTCATGACAAGCGCATGGCAGCGCGCCATTGTTGACAAAGGCCGACAGCGACGTGGCGGCGCGGAGACAGAAGGACGAAGCGCTGGATGGACTGCGGGGAGGGATAAAAGCAGCAGTCACTGCTAAGATCGATCTCACTTCATACATTTGTGAAATGTTGCCTTCTGTTACATTCTGTTGTGTTATGTATACCAGGGCTCAAAGACTTTGTTGAAACTGAGAGCTAGTTCATGGGTACTTGCTAATGCTAAGAGTTTGTTACGAACGTGATACAGTACACCTTTCTGAAATAACATTTTTGCTCTTATTATTGTTAATCGAATTTTAATATTTAAAATCAAATGATACAGTCATTTATTACATTGCAATAAATGAAATCTGCAATATATTGATATAACCTAAGGCTAAGATAAGTGGACACATGGAACAATACTGCCGAGGCATATTTAATAGCAATAGCACTTGATTTTTCCAGGCCTTTAAACACACTTTGAAAGTAATGTAATTACATATTGAGAACAAGAGCAGTGGATGTCACAAAATAGGGTCCTAACTTTGTAACAGGATGTGCTAAACAAATTCTGTTTTTTTCCAAACTACTAACTTATCTCAGTGTTTGTCTTTTGAGTGCGTTGGGCAAGGTTCTGTGTATGTGGGCATTTTACTTTAAGAAACCCTGATTGTGGAAGGTATGTTGCGCGCTGTATAGCCAAGGCAAAACTCACAATCTCCAAATTGTGAGGTTACATAGCCAGTTGTCATGTCACTCTGGCCACCTCACAGAAAAAAAATTCTGGCAATGCCCCTGCACAACAATCTAGTTATTTTTAAAACAGGCCCACAGGCTACCCATGTGGTCCTGTAGGGCAACTTCATTCCTGTGGTCAACATGATTCTTGAGTAGTCTTCCTCAAATCTCATGAGCCATGGTTGCATACTTCGTTTTTCTCAAGTTTGCTTTGAACACAGCAGTTGATTCTGTTGGCGCGGAAGTCTCTCCATGGTTTTGTGGAGACATCATTTCGGATGACTACACTTGGTTCGAGGCACAACACTGGAGACGTTTTATTTTCAGTGTGGTCGCGACCACTGCACCGCTGAACTCTCGACGTGCCTCAGCGCACCGTCACTGTCAGACGAACACAGAGAAGCTCCACCCCCTTTATTTATATGGACACGGAACACGGTAACCTTCCACACAAAACAGTTCCAAACAAGTAACAATCGTGTCAGTGGCATACATCGTACTCAACAGGCTACCTGCTCTTTATTCACCAGAGGCTCATCAACCTTGTCTCTTATTTCTCTCCTGAAACAGTGTCTTCTCCTGCTTGGTGTACCTTAGCCTTCTCGACTTCGTACAATTTCTGAACATAGCTTGTAATGGAGGCTCTTGCTGGCAATCCGTAGAGGAATCGTTAGATGCAATGTGAATAATTTCAGCTTGAGTCTAGCTGTGGACAATGTTGACAGGCTTGCATGCAGTAGCACTCAGCTACTCACTTGATGTAGAAGCTGTTCAGGCCGCAGCTGCTAATGAAGTCATAGGATTTGTCCAGAGGCTCCTCAGTCAGATAGCTGGAGCTGTAGCTCGACTCAGGCACCACTAGCACGTAGTCCTGGAAAGACACGGAAAATAATTTGTTATGCATATGCCGCAAGTGAACCATGGCTCCTCATTGCCAAGACCCGCACAGCCCGGGCCGCCACACAATGTCTGCTCCAGTCCAACTCGAAAACAAGTGAATCAGCAGGGAATCCCTGCACTGTGCGTTGGCGAGAGACTGCTAGATCCTGAGAAAGAAACAAACTTGTGATAAGGAGACGTACTTCGTCCCCTGGGGAACTTCTACAGACAATTTGTTGGGTATTCAAACTACCCTTCACCCGATACTGTTGCATCTTTACAGCTTTGAAGTGGGAGAACATCTCCCAAATCTCCCAAACCAAAGGCATCCACACAGGGGGGAGTGGCAATTCCATCCAACTTGGCATTGCTGGACCCAAACTGACTGCAAGGAAACTGCAGCTACAAGCTTTCTTTGCAGATGTATCCATCATAATCTCCTTGAAATGTGAATTATATGCATGGACGCTTGCAGATTCTTTACTTTTCTGCAAACTTTGCATCGATGAATCTGCTCGGCGATGATGTTAAATATTTTCCCGGTCATGTTTATGACATAACAGTGTAGATATATTGTGAAAATTAATATCCTTGCTGTGTGTGTGTGTGTGTGTGTGTGTGTGTGTGTGTGTGTGTGTGTGTGTGTGTGCGTGTGTGTGTGTGTGTGTGCGTGCATGCGTGCGTGCGTGCGTGTGTGTGTGTGTTTGGGTCAAAGTACTGACCTCTATTTTAGTAAAAGAAATCCCAATTGATTTTATTGTAGCCCCCCTTCATACTTTGTATTTAACAAGGTTTTTCGTCATTTACCCTCGAAACAAACCAAAATTTGTGACCCAAGAGGCGAGAGTAATGCAGGAATTTCTCCCGAGTCATTAATTGTTGACAATCTGATGAGTGACCCGCCCCTCTATTCTGCGACAACATACACGTTCAGTAGGCTTCTTGAGTTGTGTTGCTTTGTGTGGGTCCAGTGTTACCAATGCAACTTACCAGCCACAGTGTTTTATCCACAGGAACCTGCACAGTGAGGAAGAGCTTGTGGTCACTCACGTCAAGGACGATCTGGTTTTCTGACACCAGGACATTTCGACAGCCATATGCGTGTGGGCAGAAGGAGGCATTGGCATGGCCTGATGCAAAATCACAGTAGAAAGTAGAAACATCAACAAAAACAATCATAACTTTAGCCATAATTGAATTGAATACAACTTTATTGTCAAATGTGCTGTACGTATGTCTAACATACAGCACAGATGAAATTTCTTCCCTCTCAACATAAAACAAGAGGAGCCGCTGAGGGTGTCCGCGCCGCCATCAAAAGAAAAGTTCACAAAAAATGACAAAATAATACAAGAATAAAGGGCCATCGCGTTCCTGGCCACATTAGGGTACTGGCACATTGAGGATAAAAGCGGGGTCTGGTTCGTGGAAAAGCTATGACAGGTGCTACCGAATAATTTATTTGAAAACAGCAAAACTCCGGTACATACTTTTTTTCCAACAACGCAGTGTCACAGTTCGACAATCGCCGCCATTGTTGTTTTGATCTTGCGTTAAGTCATCTCACGTGACGAGATTACCGTTCTCGCGAGACGAGATTGACAACATCGGCATTCATCCTCGCGGAGAGCAGACGATTGCCAAGTTGTGTAACATTAAAACAAGTGTTGCGAAAGTTTATTGCGGAGATATCACAGAGGAAGCAGCTAAAGTTGGATAGTTTTTTGCAATAATAAGTTGACTTTGAGAAAGCCTTGCATCATTGGAAGCAGAGTAAAGAGAGGAGAATTTATGAACTTAAAAGACTGAACCTTGGGATGAAATAAGAACCTATTTCTCGGCAAATCTTGTATGCCTGAATTAATTAAATTTTTGCAGCATTTGTTTATAAGAAATAAACCTATTATCAATGTATATTGTTGTTGTTTGTGTTATTATCATCTGCAATTGAATAAGTAGACCAATTCAGAATTTGAAATTTGGGACTCTAAATGTATAATGGGACTCATACTTTTCTGATCAGCGAGTCCCTGGGACTCACTGGGGTTAAACTGTAAAATTATCACTGGGAGAGTACATACCCACCAACGCAATCTGTTAGACGGAACACGCAATTTAACAGCTACTTTTTGGGCCTCAGTAAAACACACCCGGCGGCCCGGTAGTCCATTGGTTAGCACGTCGACTTCACAGTGCGGAGGTACCGGGTTCAATTCCAGCTCCGGCCTCCCTGTGTGGAGTTTGCATGTTCTCCCCGGGCCTGCGTGGGTTTTCTCCGGGTGCTCCGGTTTCCTCCCACATTCCAAAACAAAACATGCATGGCAGGCTGATTGAGCACTCTAAATTGTCCCTAGGTGTGGATGTGAACGTGGATGGTTGTTCGTCTCTGTGTGCCCTGCGATTGGCTGGCAACTGATTCAGGGTGTCCCCCGCCTACTGCCCGAAGACAGCTGGGATAGGCTCCAGCACCCCCCGCGACCCTAGTGAGGATCAAGCGGTTCGGAAGATGAATGAATGAATGAATAAAACACACCCTACAGGCCATAATGGTAGTAGGTCAAACAGGATTCACCCACCAAAAGAATCTTCGCAAATCAGGTCCTATACATCCTACTGTAAAGTGAAGAAAATGCAGCAAGACCAATCAGCACCACTGTACGTATGTAAACAAGAACTATACATCCATGTCTGTACATGGATGCATATGTTGTATTCTCTATCGTGTCTTACCTTTCCAGATACGCCCGGCATTGATGTAGACCTGGATGGGGTAAGTGGGGTGCAGAGGTTGGTGATAGTGGAGGATGAAGACATAGCGTCCCAGTGTGTGGACATGCGTAGAGTACACTGCTGCATTCTGGGTAGGAGGAAGTGCAAAGTGTAAACAAGGCAGGCACAGAGCTGCTGCATCAGTGCTGTGTAGAGGTAAGATCGGGCCGCCCGAGCCCGAGCCCGACCCGAAATTCGGGTCAGGTCGGGCCTTAAAATGTCAATCATTGGTTTGGGTTCGGGTCGGGTCGGGCTTCTCTCTCGCTGACTTTTTTTTTTTTTTTTCGAGGCCGTCAATAGTTTTGGCCACGAGAGACAATGGTTCACAAAAAAACAGAAGTCGCCTCATCACAACACGTACTGTACTAAACTCTTGCAATGACAATTCAAAGAACTCCTTCCTGTGTCTGTCTATGATCCACCCATCATTATTCTTTTTTGTCTCTCTGCTTCTCTCTCATATAGTGCCGCACTAGATTCTTAAGGACGTACTGCTGCGGTGGTTTACGGCCCAATTTTCAACCCGTCAAAATGACAGACGGCCTTAAATTTTCCCCGTCCACTCTTAAAGAAAATCCGTCAATGATAGAAAATTGTCGGTTAATGTAACCTCTTGAGAAACAGAAATATAAAATATGTAAATGTTTATACAGTCTTGTTTAACTCAGATTTCATTCCAAAAGACAGGCTTTGTTATCAGAAATCACCCCTCCTCCTCCCGAGTCCTCACAAATAAAATATGAAATGTCGGGTTTGCTTCGGGCTCGGGCCTGCAAATCAAGCTAAGTGATCGGACTCGGGCTGGGTCGGGCTTAAATACCCTCGGGCCGGTTCGGGTCGGGCTCGATTTTTTAGGACCAATCTTATCTCTAGTGCTGTGGGCCTATATAGTTACCTGCAGCGAGTCTAGTCTGACGAGGTCACCATTGTCAGCTGCCTGAGGCGGTAGCTCTGCTGCTGACCGGGCTGATGGCTCCCTCTGGGGGCCAGGCAGAGGGGTAGCGGTGTTGTGGGAGTCCAAGATGGGCTCCTGCATGTTGGCGCTCTGACCCTCCTTCAGGACCAGCGAGTTGGACGGCATTCGGAAGCGCGAGGGAACGCAGGAGGAGCTGCATGGACAATAAAGCCCGGGGTGAGTGGGGGTTACAACCTCATTAAATGATGACGATGAGGACTATTGTACCTGTCGTGGGAGAAGTGTCCATGAGTGCTGATGCAAAGGACTTTAGGATCCACATACTCCATGGAGAAGTGCGCTTGAGGAACCAGATAGATTTTGTGCTGCAATACCAGGGCAACAACGTTCAATTAGCACTTTCATCTGCATCTAGGAGGCGCCAATTTTGAGTCACTACCACGCCTTGAGGTGCAAACACATACTTGCAGTATAAATCAGAAATGGTCCATATGTTTGCATGTTAACAGTAGGACAAATTAGGGATGGTGTGGTAACGTTACCAAACAGTGACACATTGTAAGAATCTATGTGAAAAATTGATAACACTCAAGAAAAAAAATTAATTACATTAAAAATATATATTATGACTGTAGTTGAAGGAAAAAAAATGGTAAATCATGATACTACTGTATAATAGATTAATCAATGATGTTACTATTAATAGCGGCACGGTGTGCAACTGGTAAGCATGCCAGCCGCACAATGCAGAGGTGCAGGGTTCGATTCCTGTGTGGAGATTGCACCTACTCCCCATGCGTGGGTTTTGTCCGGGAACTTCGGTTTCCTCCCACGTTCCAAAAACATGCGTGGCAGGTTAATGGAGCACTCTAAATTGTCCCCAGGTGTGAGTGTGGATGGTTGTTTGTCTATGCGTGCCTGCGATTGGCTGGCAACCAGTTCAAGGTGTACCTCGTCGAGCTGGGATAGGCTCCAGGATTCCCGGCGACCCATGTGAGGATAAGCGGATCTGAAAATGGATGGGATATACTGTGTGTGTGTGTGTGTGTGTGTGTGTGTGTGTGTGTGTGTGTGTGTGTGTGTGTGTGTATGCATGTCTGCCTCACAGTACAGAGGTCACGGGTTCGTATCTGGATCTGGCTCCCTTGTGTGGAGCATGTTCTTCCCACGTCTGCGTGGGTTTTCTCCGGGTACTCAGGTTTTCTCCCACATTCCAAAAACATGCATGTTAGGTTGTGCAAATGTTTTTGCAGGACACAAACTGTCATGTGACAGCATTGGAATTCATACCAGGAAAAAGGTTGCGCTCTCGGCAGACAGCTGGAGCTCCGTGTCACCTGGCAGAGAGAAGAGTGCCACTCGCTTGTGTTCATCGACAGAGACCACTCGACACAGGAAGCTGTACAAACATAAACATTGATAAAGGCGACTTTAAACATTATGACTACCAGTGCCTGCAGGTGTACCTAAAGGCACAGCGTAAAAGAGTAACACTGTGTTGTCGTGTTTGGGCTCCTGGCAAGTTGAAGGTGACAGCGAGCGTTTGTGGCGACTCCTCCATGTTCGCGTATTCCACCACCAGTACGTAGATGCCCCCGGTCTTCACTTTGGCTCGCATCTCCACGCTGATCTGCTGACACAGTTTGGAAAAATGTCTGATTGACAAACAACATATCGTGCCGGCTTTCAATATATCTATTTACATGCAGTCAATAACCATTACAAAATAACAATACTGGCGATATTGTGGTTTGAAAGGCCAAGTAAATATGCAAAAAAGCCATTTTTGCTCATAGTCAAGTTTTTAAAAACCCGAAGAAGACCCCTGTGTTACCCCTTTTCTAGCCCAAATCAATGTCATATAAACGCAATCGGGATACCACCTTTGAATGGAACATTCATTTGTGTTTTGCGCATGCTCTGTCAACAAGGTATCTGGGTCTTTTGAGTACAGGAGGTACTGTATGCGCAGCGGTGATCGTTTGCGTGTCGCAGCGATCAATGAATCCATTCAATGCTTTTAAGACTTTTTAAGACCCTGCGGGAACTGGTAATAAAGGAAAATAAACAATAAAAATAATTACAAAGATTGAAAAAAAAAAAAGAATGGTATAATTTTAATGGTCCGGACCACTTGACATCTACCGAGGCCGTATGTGGCCCACGATGTGGAATGAGTTTGACACCCCTGATTTAGTGTGTTCCATCAAGGTGCCACGCATGTTTTTGGAATGTGGGAGGAAACCGGAGTACCCAGAGAGACCCACGTAGGCATGGGGAGAACATGCAAACTCCACACAGAATGGCTGGAATCAAACCCTGCACGTCTGCACTGTGAAGCCAACGTGCTAACCAGTCGACTACTGGGCCGCCCACAAATAAATAAACAAACACATTCCAAACCAAACACCAGGAATCTTTTGCAGGTGTTTGAAATTAATTAGCTGATTCGGTTGTGACACCACAAGTTTCCAGTTTCCAGTCATCTTTTTCACGATATTCAAAATGTCTGGGGAGACTGAATTTGAGGTTTTCATTGTCTGAAAGCCATAATAAGCAAAATTACAAGAGCCAGGCTTGAAATATTTCAATGTTAAGTGCATTGATTCGACATGCGTTTCACAATCCGAAATAAATTAAAAAAAAAAATCACTTTGTCACAATATTCTATTTTTTTTTGATCTAACTGTACATTGCTTATAATGCTCTCTACAAATTTAATGTTCTGTATGTCTTCATTTATAAGTTGTATGGTGTAAATGCAGAACCGAGACAAACACAGGCATTTGTGCTCTTACGTCGTAGCCGCTGCAGACGGCCATGTCAGGATGGCGAAGAGTAACCTTTTTGGTGGGGCAGAGGCGTGGCAGATGGTTGTCATGGCGACAAATGGCATCGATGCCAGACACGGAGTGGAAGGCGTCCAGAGACAAGTACGTGTATTGTAGGCAACTGCTGGGACACAAACCAGACTAAACATTTTGTCGCCCCCCCCCACCCCCCTCTGCACCCCCAAAACAACAACAACAACAACATTATTACTTGTGGCTGGTGTCTGTTGGAGAGCCAAACATGCATGGTTCTGTGATATGCATTTGCAGGATGGGAGCCTCATAGTAGGCGCTGGGCAGAAGGACCAAAAAATCCTGCGGAGAATAAGAAGTTTATTATGCCATTATTTTTACACACACACACACACACACACACATACACACACACACACACACACACACACACACACACACACGACTCTATGATATGTGCCTAAAAAGTAATTAAATGCTCTAAATTGAGTCTATGGTCTCTTTATTTGCATTCGCACGTGATTGAAAAAACAGCTACATAAGTGAATGTGATGAAAATAAAACCCTCAGGCATTCTCAGTACAGTCAAACCTCGGTTTTCGACCATAATCCGTTCCAGAAGGCTGTTCGAAAACCGAATTGTTCGAAAACCGAAACCATGTTTCCCATTAGAATCACCGTTCCAAGTCTAGAAAACAACTTTTTTAAAAGCATTTTTTCAACAATTTTACACCACAAACTGGATACATGTGTGATAAGAGGTAACAACAAACTACAAACATTTTGTATGTTTTATTTTTACCAATTTTAACACAAACATTGACATTGTAACATAAAAATTGAACATCTCACTGTCTCTCTCTCTCTCTGTCTCTGTCTCTCTCTCTCTCTCTCTCTCTCTCTCTCTCTCTCATCGTCACAATTATAGATTGCATTTTTTTACACC